ATAAAATGTGTACCATATACACCATGAATGGCTCTGCTGTATGAGCAGCATGTTACATTATTAATGAAAATCAATTTTCTGGTAGAGAAATATTACAGTTAATGGCACAACAAGGCCCAGTGCTAGAATCAGGGCTACGAGTGGTGAAAATCATAAGCCTGAAAAGGGATAAGGATGAGTTTAGTGAAAGTATTTTTAAATAAATTCCATTGAACAAGAAATCAGACTTGCACTGGTCATCTGGTAGCTTTGGCAAATGTTGGAGGCTGTCACCTCTTTAAGTATTTACAGAATGTTTTATTTCTTCTTAACTGCTTGACTAAAGCTGGCCTCATTTTAACAGAACAGTTTGGTTTACTGCAAAGCATATACATATACTCTGTGGCCAGATTACTTTGTTCCACCAGACTTTCTACAGCAGAGGTCAACATAAGAGGTCTGCTTAATGAAATCAAACTGATTTGGCCACCTACAGATTATTCTATTGTCTGCGGCTATCGTTACTTTTAAACTGATATGATGACATTAACAACATGAAGCATATGTGCTGTGAACAGTGATTTTTTTTATAATTTTTATTCAAAATTCTCTGGCCAGGAATATTGAGGAAAACCTGTTATGTAGATCTGTGGATCCTGCTTTTTTAGGTACTTTTTGTAATAGAGCAATAAAATAAAGTGAACATTGTTTTATTTTTTAATTCAAGTTCATCATTTACCTTAAATCTATGAACAGAACAATTAAACTACACATACCGATAGCATGCTCCTCAAGTCCTACTGTATAGAAGCCCAAGTTCCGATATGGTGGCCAACAAGTGTGAAACAGCTTGGAATAAATACTTACATAATATTGGTCTGTTTTTGTGCTGTAAACTGGTGGTTCTGGATGTACAGTTGGCCAGGCGGAAAAATAATGATTTGCATCGTTTGCCTACTTTCCTAAATTAAGTACTAAACTCTTTATTGTTTGGGATTTGTAATATAAGTGGGATATGCAGATACCTTCTGTTTTACCTTTATTCACTAAATTGTGAAAAAATACAACTTTTGTTATTGTACTACAATAAGTTATTGCTTTCACCCTGAAAATAGAATCTGATATCATTACTATTACGAATACATCTGGGCACATTTGCTATTTGTAATGCATACTTTACAAAGCATGGTAAAGCAGCTGTGTGATAATCTTTAACTAAACTGTGCTAATCTTTACTGACGGGCCACATATTTGACTACAGTTACTCTTAAGGTAATGCTCACATCATGAGTCTGCATGTGACTGAAACATGGTAAAATGTAATTTGCTACCTAATTACCAGACACGATAAACTACTCATACGAAGCAAAATACTACATTTGCATCTTCAGAGGAAACATAAAACGTCAAATTTCCTGTCTCTGTTAAAGAGTATACAGTTTTCACGGCATATAATTAATGTGTAATATATGCAATATTTTATAGATACGCATTCAAGAGTTCACCTTGACTTAAATTATCTTATTAATATAGGTGTTAATGTTTCTATGTTTAATTGCTGATTTTATATGTACATAATGGAAGCCATATTTTTTCAGTACATATGCAGAATTGCTTTTGTATTGCTACACAATGGTTGTATTTTATTATTCCTACTTGCAAAGCATGTGTATAAATCTGCTGACTCAAACACTGGAATGATAACCTAATATAATGTATGTACTTATAAAAAATATAATTCCCTTTAATATATTTCTACATTTAGCTGTATTTGAGTTGTAGCATTGATCCTCCTGGTTGTGGTTGGGTCCTGAGCAGCTGTCATCTATTCAATACCTGTACACTTAAAACATCTATGTGCAGTAATTTTTTGGGATTGTTTGAGCTATAGGCAGCAATCAACACTGGTTTTAGGACATTGTAGCCTATTGTACATTTTACATGTATGTCTAATACACAATTAGTGATAGTGCCACCACAACAGAATATAGGTTTTTTTGCACCCTATATTTAAAGGGTCAATCCATTCAAAACTGATGCTATACTGATATATCTATAAATATTATTTATTTTATATAATGGAGAGAGTAAAGGAGGAGCTAAAACAGGCAAAGGAACTGACTCTGTTCCCAGGTGAACAGAAGAGTCAGAAAACATGGCAGAACTTGCTTGCTCTTAGATTATTCAAGGTAATTAAAATAATATTTTTGGGTGGACTGGCCAGTTAATTTGACAACTTTGCAGAAAGATGCATAAAGGTGGTATTTTGTGAACTACACTGTGGCTGGATACTACAGGTAATGATGTAACATTGCTTTATTTTTTATATTACTATGTTTTTATAGTAACACTCCAGACACCAATAGTCTCATTCAATACCCAATGGGGTTGATTACTAAAGGCAAATTGGCTGTGCACTTTTCAAAGTGCAGTTGCATTCTGCAAGTGCTGTTGCATTCTGCAAGTGCAGTTGCTCCAGAGCTTAGTAAATGAGCAGAAGCTCTGCTGACTTCCATCATCCAATCATGTGCAAGCAAAAATTATTTTTTCAAATTTTCCTTGCATTTAATTTGGTATTATTTGCAAAGAGACGCTTTACCTCATTTACTAAACTCTAGAGCAATTGCACTTGCAGAGTCATTTTGCCTTTAGTAAATCAATCCTATTACCTAATCCATTGAATTGCCGTATGCACAAGACAGATTTCCTTTAAGACCAACATATTCATATACTGTATGCAGTGCTTTGCAGAATGTGCTTATCTTTGAATGAACGCTAGTTCTAATATTAGGCCTATCCTAAGTGTTATAATGAAGGACCAGGATGCTTGAGGAGTGACAAGATATATTTCACATAGCATTAATAAGATCATATAGGCTGGTAATCAAGCACTGAATATCCTAGAGGAAACTTAATGACAAGAAGATGAACACATCCTATTGAAGCGTCTTCTTTTCCTCTCATACCTTGGTATAAATCCAGAATCACGACTACAGAGAGGCACAAAGACTTATTTGGGTGTCTGCACACGTTACCAGTGTTTTTACTTTCATGCCAAGAGTGCCCAAGATTTTTATTGTACTATTAATGGTAAAATGGCATAAGAACAGATTAACCTTGAACTGGAAGGCTGAACTGATGGACACATTTTCTGACAAGTGTGTCACCAATATACTAGTCCAAAGCAGTGACTGTAAATGATATTGTGGAATGTTTGTGAAAGGCTGAACCAAAGGTCACAGATTTATGCCCTGTAAGAAGGTGCCAACAAAACGATTCGCTCAAGTTTCACACCCACTATGAAATGCCACGGCAAGTCAAACCGCTTATGAAAACTTTCTGCTGTGACACCCAAGTATCACATGAGAAGAGACATAAAAAAAAACAGTATTTAAAAGACTAAGCATTTCTTTGTTTCGGAATCTTGTATAAACTGCATCCTTTTCTAAACACTGAAGACAAACAAAATATGACAAAGAAAATATACAGCAATGTAAGACATTGCCGCTTAGAAGAGATTTTGTGCAGAAGTAGCAAGGTCCTCATTCATATTATGGATTAGAAGCTGCATATATAGAGCATGAAGTCAATGCTACACATTTTTTGTGTTTTTCTTAAACCCATCACAAAACAGTATTTCTGACGATATCCATGACTGTGAATGCTTCAAGAACAATTGGTTAGACATTATCCTAGTTGAATGTATTAAAGCTGGAGGGACAGAAATATCTCACTTGTTTCACTTTTCTACTGCACGGTAGCCCAGGCATTTTTCTTTTCTCCTCTTATAGGCAGGCTTCACAGAACAGACACCAATGTGATCTCTTTTTGATTTCTTTGTGTACCTCCATTGCCAAGTGCTGAGCTTCAGTAGTAGCCACAAACCAGAGTGAAAAAATATTATAACAATATACTATCAGAAACATAGAAACAGAAGAGTGACCAGAAAAAAGAGCATGCGGCCCATTGACTATGCCCCATTTTTAAAAAATGTATATAGGGGTTTTTTTTTTTTACTTTTTTGTTTGAGACTAGATCTATGTTTGTCCAAGCATGAATCATGTTTGAACCACTTTCTGTTAACTGTCTGATATTTGCTGGAAGTCTGTTCAAAGTATCAACTACTCTTTTGGTAAAATAATGCTTTCCAAGGTTAGTTTTGGACTTTCCTCCTGCTAATTTGAGGTCATGTCCTCTGGTTCTTGATCATAGTTTCCTGCAGTTTGAAAATCCTGCCGTCCTGAACCCTATTCTTACCCTTGAAAAATGTAAAGGTTTTAGTCATGTCTCTCTTTTCCATTCTTTCCTCCAGACTGTACATATTAAATTCATGAAGCCTCTCCTGATATATTTTGTTCCTCAGATCGTTCCCCCTTTTTTTGTTCCCTGTCTACTTTGGGTTGTATTTAAGGCCCAATTCCACTATTTATTTATTTATTTTAAAATTAGGTCCAGAAGGTATAACCTAAAATCAGCTATAGCTGCAATGTTTACTTTTAATCTTGAAATGTCCCCTGCAGTCCTTTTTCTCTACTCTAAGTTGTCTGTGAGCCAAGGCCATCATGAACAGGCCCCTGGGGATACATCATCATGCTAACATGGGCTCACAGTACTCCTAGACAGCATAGTGCTCACACATCATTGCATCATTTGAAGTTATAGGCTCCGTTATTATTCTCAACATTGCTTTACTGACCTGGAACAAGCAGTGAGGATAGAATTCCCAAGCTAGATACTTCTAGCTCAGTAACCCAGAAGTAAGGCTGTGGATAACCAAAAAGCCAGCACCTTCAAAAAATCCAGTAAGGGCAACTCTCATATTTATATACTACCAGGTGCCATTTAATACAACAGAAAGTAGAAGTACTCTACTAGTATTAGAATTTTCTAACAACATTCGCATCCCCATAACCTAAATACATATGAAATAAACCTATCTGCTTCTTAACCATAATATCATTCAATGTGTGCTTTGACACAATAGTAAAATTGTACTTTTTATAGGCTGCTCTGTTAGCCTG